GGAAGAAAGAGAGCAAGAAATTGAAAACCTATTTGAAAACATAATGACAGAAAACTTCCCCTACCTGGGGGAAAAAATAGTCTTACAAGTCCAGGAAGCACAGAGGATCCCAAACAAGAGGAACCCAAAGAGGCCCACACCAAGACACATCATAATTAAAATGCCAAAGGTTAAAGACAAAGAGAAATCTTTAAAGCAGCAAGAGAAAAGCAGTTAGTTACCTACAAGGGAGCACCCATACAACTGTCAGCTGATTTCTCAACAGAAACTTTGCATGCCAGAAGGGAGTGGCAAGAAATATTCAAAGTGATGAAAAACATGGAACTACAACCAAGATTGCTCTACTCAGGAAAGCTATCATTTAGAACTGAAGGTCAGATAAAGAGCTTCTCAGACAAGGAAAAGCTAAAGGAGTTCATCACCACCACACCAGCACTACAGGAAGAGTTGAAGGGTTTTCTTTAAGAAGAAGCTAATGAACAAAAGAATCTGACGAACTAAATAAACCCAGAGACATTGACGCATATAACAGACGATCATATTTCAGAGGAAAGAGGGAAGGGGGGTGGACGGTGGGAAGATAGTAACCAAAGAAGTTATATGCATATATGCATAACCCATGGACACAGTCAATAATGGGGTGAAGGCCTGGAGAGGGGGTGGGAGCGAAGTGGAGGAAGTCAATTGGGGGGAAAAATGTGACACCTCTAAAACTCTCAACAATAAAGATAAATTTAAAAAAATAATAAAAGAAAAAATATAAAAAGAAAAAAAGAAAAAAAAGAAAATAAGCTTTAGAATGTAGGTTATAAAGCTGCAAAAGTCATGTTTACATTTCTAAATAAGAAGTTAATTATTTGGGGGTGTCCGTACCACAGTTCTCTCTTGGCATAGGAAAAGAAGTATTAATATTAAATAGTTTTAATTACAATTTAAATAATTGGCAAATACTTATTTCTCCAAGTATTTTTTGAGAACCAGATGATAATTCAAAAAACAATATATCAAATGTTTGTAAATAAAATAAAATCTAACGTTATTTACTTACTTATTTTTCTCTTGTAAGTTTATTTGAGCCAACTGACAACAGTTGCCAGAAAGCAAAACCTCAACATATTGAGAAAGTGCTCCTAAAATCCAACTTCAATAAAAGGAAAGAGTTTTGATTAATTTAACAAAAGGACAACTTCCATTTTAATTATAAACTCTTTATTATTTGGCATGTACATATATAAAGTATATATATTTAAACTGAGTATTTTATACAAACTCTAGGAAAGTATTCCAAATGAAAAATTATGATTATAAAGTAAAACAATCAAGATACATCAAGGATGCATGTGACTCAGTGCCAAATTTACAGTCAATCACATATCTACAATGTCACAGTCTTTTTATTCCCCCAAAAGTGTCCACATAAGAACTCAAAAGTGGGCAATAACTTGCCCAAAGAATAAATTACTTTCTTTATATAGAACATGGAAAGGAACATGATGAAAAATAAAGATTCTTCAGAATATTTTTATGGAGTTGCTAGTAAGACAACAGAACCTAAGGCGACAAGGACCTGTCCAGGTAAAATATTTATATTAAATATGCCTTTATTCCTTGTCTGGTTGAGGTGATTTGTCAGCCACGTTTTGTAGAAGAAAGGTGCACAATAGACACCAGGAAAATTTTCTCGACCACAGCCATATCCGTAACTGGTAATTCCCATTAAAAAAAATTGTTTATGTTCTGGTAAGTAGCACATTAATGGTCCACCACTATCACCCTATTAAAAAAGTCCCAAAATAATGTTAGTTACTTCTAGTAGTCTTTATATAATAGTAAAGCTGGAATAAATTAATCACATAAAACATACATTTCTATAAATATACATTTTCAATATACCTCTGAGTAACTAAGATCAATAGATTTTCAGTTTTATATTCCAACTCAAACAGGAATTCAGTTACATTCACTCTGGCCTGGTATTTAGAGGAACCATATAGCTGGTGGATAAACTTACCATCAGTGTAGTTTTGACCCAAAATACTACAAATCACATTGTTTGAATTTTTTAAGTACAATTACTCAGGAGAAATATAATTTAGGATATGTACAAAATATTGTAAACACTGTCTACTGGAATACTTCTGTTGCTTAATGCCATTTGTGAAAGGTATAACTCTAAGATATATGAAGGAGTCTTTTAGGTGCATATGGCGTGCTAGCAAGAGGAGAGGAGTAAACTGAATCTTGCAAGAAATGGCATCTTTCTAAGTGTTCACATTGGGTGGTGCCTGATATTAGGAATAAATGGTTAATCCTCTCTGTAGTATTATAAATAACAAATCTCCCCCATAATATACACAGGACTGTCAGTGTACCAACAGAGACACTATCACTAAGGATGTTAATCTCTCCAAACAACAAGGATGCTGAGCTAACTGTTTCAGTGCCTAAAAGTTAAAGGCTGTTTCTAAAATGTTTTCAAATTCTCTATATATGGTAGGCACTGAATAATTATTTTTTGACAATGAGAGTGTTTCTCTTATGAATGCAGTTCAACTAGATTGGATTCTTTGTTATTTTACTCAGCAAGGTTTTTTAAGGAAAATGACATGGGAAGGATAGACCCTGGATGTCTAGAAATTGGAATGAGCAGGAAAGGTCCGAGCGTGGGGCACCGCTCAGCAGCGAAGTCCTGGTGGATCTGGAAGCAGTGAAGCAAAGAGCAATAAGGACAGAGTCAAAACAAAAAGCAGATAAATCGAGCTTCATAAAAAGTCAAAAACTTTTGTGCTACAAATGAAAATATCAAGAAAGTGAAAAAACAGTCCACAGAATGGGAGAAAATTGTATCCATGATATATAAAAAATACTTATGATTCAATTATAAAAAGGAAAAAAGTCAACTTAAAAATGGACGAAGGATCTGGATAGACATTTCTCCAGAGAAGATATACAAATGGCTAATAGGCACATGCAGAGATATTCAACGTGATTAGTCGTTAGGGCGATGCAAATGAAAAGCACAGTGAGATGCCACTTCACGCAAGGATGGCTATAATCAAGAAGACAGACAGTAAGTGCTGACCAGGATGTGGAGAAATGGGAACCCTTATCCATTACTGCTGAGAATGTAAAATGGTGCAGCCACTTTGGAATACAGTCTGGCAATTCTTCAAAATGTTAAACATGGACTCAGCAATTCTACACCTAGGTGAAATTTCCAAGAGAAATAAAAACATACCTTCACATAATAACATATACAGAAACATTTATAGCAACATTATTCATAATAGCCAAAAAGTGGAAATAGCTCAAATGTCCATCAACTAATGAATGGATAAATAAAATGTGGCCTATTCATACAATGGTACATTATTTGGCAATATAACGAATAAAGTATTAATACATGTCATAGTGTAGATGAGCATTGAAGACATTATGTTAAGTGAAAAAAGTCAGTCACAAAAGACTACATATTAAATGATACCATTCATATGAAATTTCCAGAATAGGCAAATCTATAAAGATCAGTGGTTGCCTAAGGCTGGGGGTGGGTGGGAGGAGAATGGGGAGTGACTCATAATGAATAGAGGTTTCTTTTTGTGTTGACAAACGTGTTCTAAAATTAGATTATGGTGATGATGCACTACTCTGTAAATATATTAAAAACCCATTGAGCTGTATACTTTAAATGGGTGAATTGTGTATATGTAGATTATATCTCAATAAAGGCGGTAATGGGGGGAAAAAGGAAGAAAGATTCAGTGCAAATCAGGAAAGCAAGAAGATTTGTATTGTTGTATAGTTAAAAACGAGAAAAAATAATTTAGTACTTTTTTAAAATAAATTTTTTAAAAATATTTTTTGAGAGAGAGGAAGGGAGGGAGAAACACTGATGAGCTGCCTTCTGCACATCCCCTGCCAGGGATTGAGCCCTCAACCAAGTGTCCTGACCAGAAACTGAACCTGCAAACCCTCGGTGCCTGGGGGGAACACCCAACCAAGCCACAAGCCACACTGGCCAGGGCAAGAATTTAGTACTTTTAGACTTGATAACTAAGACATTACCAGCCCTGGCTGGGTAGCTCAGTTGGTTAGAGCATCATCCTGATAAGCCAAGGCTTTGGATTTAATCCCCGGTCAGGGCACGTGCAAGAATCAACCAATGGCCCAGCCAGGTGTGGCTCAGCGGTTGAACTTCGACCTAGGATCCAGGAGATCGGGGTTCGATTCCCGGTCAGGGCACATGCCCAGGTTGCGGGCTGCAGCCGATCAATGACTCTCTCATCACTGATGTTTCTCTCTCTCTCTCTCCCTCTTCCTTTCTCTCTGAAATCAATAAAGATATATTTAACAACAACAACAAAGAATCAACCAATAAATGCATAAATAAGTGGAACAACAAATCCATGTTTCTCTCTCTCTCTCCCCCCCCTCACAAATTAATTTTTAAAAATTGTTTTTTTTTTAAAAAGGACATCACCGGAAAGTGATCAAAGGCCTTGTTCAAGTTCCCTCTGGCTCTAGAAAATATTTCTAAGAAAAATTATTTGGTCTTACCCTGCAAGTATCAAAAATTCCATCTTCATCACCTGCACAAAACGAAGTTATAGGAATAATATTCCCATAACTCTTATCAGAACTGCAAACGCTTCGAGAAATATAATGCACTTGTGCTTCCTGTAACACACTTGTAGCATTACCTATTAACAAAAAAATATCAATAAATTATTTTGGAGAGCAGGCATTTTTACAGTAATATAAAATGTTCATGTTGAAGAGGTTTTCTTTCCAAAGTGACTGACTCAACAATTATGTAAAATGGTATCAATAAATGTATGTATGTATACCTAGGAAGATTGTGGAAGGACATTCACAAAAATGTTAATGACAGTTATGTCTAGATAGTGGGAATTTCAGGTTATTTTTACTGTCTTTGCTCTCGTATACTCTTGAAGGTCTCACAATAGGATCTACCAATTTTACAAAACAAAGCTATTGTCAAGGACTAAAAAGGTAAAGCCTGAGGTCAATCTTTCTTATGTTGTAAGTTTTGAAAATTTTTATTTAATTTTATAATGATGCTAAGTCTTGAAGGATGGTGCACAGGAAAATAAAACAGATTTTAATTTATGTACTCCCCTAAGTTCTCTGCTCATTCCTGAACATAAAGTGTTTCTTTGCTACACAAAAAATAGGAAAATGCAAGACAGCACTTCAGGAACCATTAAAGGACAGATTACGGTAAGATTTGTCCATAGAAAAGCTGCTGTAACAGCAGCATCCAGTCCTATCAGCCTGCCTCAGAGTTGCAGTTGTCATATGTGGTAGCTGAATGTTTTGTGTGCCCCACATACTTCTCTAGTTTTTCTGGTAATAGACATTTGTTCCCTTGACTGCAAGTTGGCAGATGACCCAACTGTTTCATTCACAGAATTCCATTCTCCCGGTGACACTGACTGGTCTAGACCTGACTATATTTGGTATAAGTGCAACCAATTGGAATACTTCTCCAGCATTTTTGAACCGGGGCTGCCAGAGAAGAACTTTTCACCTTAGTCACATGACTGTTTAGCTATAAATCCAAAGCACCCTGATGTCACAGTTTCAGCCTTTTGTGGGTAGGCAGCCTGAGAAACTAGTCAACATACAGAGAGAATAGGACTAGAAAATAGAAATAAAATATATCCCAAAGCATTCAGATTCCTGGATCGAGGCTTCCTGGAGGTCAGCCACATTTCTGCCATTTATTTTAAAATAAGTAATTTCCAGGAATACAGCTGCATATAAAAGAATATATGTGGCATGTAAGTTATAAAATTTAATAATGAAATGAACACCTGGGAACCTACCACCCAGTTTATGAACCTGGTGCAGTGATATTAAAAAAACCCAGAGATTTCAAAGTGAATAGAAGAGGGAGCACAGAAACAGATGTCTGGGTTTTCTCTTCTGTTCCACTGGTCATTTAGAATTTCCTTGCATCGAGGTAACACTGACTAATTACTACAGCTTCGGAATAAACCTTGATTTCTGGAGGGCAACTCCTCCAACATATTTCTCTGCCATACTATTGCCTTGGCTATTCTTGGGTTCTTATTTATTTATTTATTTTTAATATATCTTTATTGATTTCAGAGAGAGGAAAGGAGAAGGAAAGAGAGAGACAGAAACATCAATGATGAAAGAGTCATTGATCGAGCCCACAACCCGGGCATGTGCCCTGACAGGAATCGAATCCCGATCGCCTGGATCCCAGGTCGAAGCTCAGCCGCTGAGCCATGCCCGGCCGGGCTCTTGGGTTTTTTAGAACTTTTTAATTGTCTCAAACTTATATTAGAGCTTATCATCTTTATGATACTCAGCCTTATTAAAGTATAAAGTACACCATTCCATTTACTTAGGTATTTGTAAATGTCTTTTAAAAATGTTTTAGGATTTTTATCCATAAAAGGCCTGCAATCTTTTGTTAGATTTGTTTATAGCTAACTAATCATTTTGCTTTTATTGTAAATGTTAATGTCTGTTCACTTTTCCAACACTTTTTTATGAAAAATTTTAAACATAAAGCAAAGATGAAAGAATTTCTCAGTGAGCAGCCATATGTTCACCTCCTAGTTTCTTTAATCTACAGTTGTTTTTGCAACTTTTTATTTAGATATAAAAATTTCAAAATTATAGAAAAGTAGCAGGAATAGTACAAAGGACTGTCAAAGACCTTTTACTGAGATTCACCAGTTGTTTTCTTTTTGTCACATGTGCAGTATTATTTGCACTCCGTGTGTTTATAATTTTTTTCTGAAACACTTGAGAGTGAATGGCAGACATTGTTTTCCTATACTTTTAAATACTGAGTATGCATTTGTTAAGAAAAAGGACATTCTCTTACTAACCATAGTATTTTTATCAAGATCAGGAAATTTAACACTGGTACAATACTATATTATTCCATTCATATTTAATCTCTGTGTATTTTTGGGTTTTCCAGCTATCTTTCTGTTATTGGTTTATAGTTTAATGTTACTGTTTATAGTTTAATTCCAACCACTGATCCATTCTTGTTTATTCTGGACATTTTATCATATAAGTGGAATTTTATAATATGTAGGGGTTGTGTCTGTCTTATTTCACTTAGCATAATGTTTTAGCATGTATTGGTACTTCATTTCTTTTTATGGCTGGATAATATTCCATCGTATGAATATACCACAATTTGTTTGTTTACTCTTCGGTTGATGGACATTTACATGTTTTTATTTTTTTGCTACTATGAAATAGTGTTGCTGTAAACAGCTGAGTATGGGTTTTTGTGTGAACATATGTTTTCATTTCTCTTGGATATATTCCTAGGTGTGAAATTGTGGATTTGTATGGTAACTGTATGTTTAAATTTTTGAGGAACTGCCAAACTGTATTCCAAAGCAGCTGTATCATTTTATATTCCCACTAGCAATGTATGAGGGTTCCAATTTCTTTACATCTTTGTCAACACTTGTTACTGCCTAATTTTTTTTATTATAGCCATCGTTGTGGGTGTGAGATGTTAACTTTTAAAATTACATTTTCTAACCACTGATAGTGTGCAGAAATGAAATAAATTGTTATATTGATTTTGTATCTGGCCCCTTTACTAGATTATCTTAATTTCAATGTTGGATTCTTTTTAAACGTATAGTCCCATCCTCTGTAAATATTTTTTTTAGTACCTTTCTAAGTCCTATGTCTTTTGCATTTTTTTCTACTGTTACTGCACTTGCTAGAACCTCTACTACAGTACAGAATAAAAGTGGCGATGATGGGGGAAATCATTCCAGATTTTAAGGGAAATGTTTTTCTATAATAATGATGTTGCTGAAGTTTGGAGGTAGATAACCTTAATCAGGTTAAGGAAGTTCCCTTCTATGTCTAAATTGTTATGAGTTTTTAATAGTGCTTCTTCTACACCTACTGAGATAATCATGTTTTTTAATCCTTTTATCAGTTAATATGCTGAATTACATTAAGGGACTTCTAATATTAAACCAACCTTAAATTCCTTAGATAAACTCAACTTGGTTATGTTGAATTCTATTCTTTTTCAAAATTTTGATAAAATTAAAAAAAATTTATTTTTCTCTATTGTTGAGAGTATTACAAGTGTCTCTTTTTCCCCCATTGATCCCCTACACGCTGTACCCCTACCCCCAGGCTTTCACCCTACTATTGTCTGTGTCCATCAGGTCAAGCTGTCATGCATATATGCATATAAATTTTTATGTTAATCTCCCCCCCACACTCCCACCTTTCCTCTGAGATCCCTCAGTCTGTTCCATGCTTCTGTGTCTCTGTATCTATTTTGTTCATCGGTTTATTTTGTTTATTAGATTCCACATATGAGTAAGATCATGTGATGTTTGTCTTTCTCTGACTGGCTTATTTTGCTTAGAGTAATACTCTCCAGGTCCCACCACGCTGTCTCAAAGTGTAAGAGATCCTTCATTTTTACAGTTGCATATATTCCATTGTGTAAATGTCCAAGAAGATGCTTGATATTATTTCAATCTTCTTGAACTTGTAGAGACTTGTTTTGTGTCCCAACATGTCTATCTTTGAGAATGTCCCACGTGCACTTGAGGAGAATGCCTATTCTGCAGCTTTGGAGTGGAATGTTCTGTAAATGTCAGTTAAATCCATCTGATCTAGTGTGTCATTTAGAGTCATTGTTTCCTTGCTGATTTTTTGTCTGGAAGATCTATCCTGTAAAGTCAGTGGGGTGTTAAAGTCCCCTACTATGTCTGTATTGCTGTCAATCTCTCCTTTAAAGTCCTCCAGAAGTTTTTTGGGTTTTTTTACACCCCCCACCCCCTCGAGTCTTTTGTTCTGAGGTGGGTCACTTATAGACAGCATATATTTGGGTCTTGTTTTCTTATCCATTCAGCTACCCTCTGTCTTTTGATTGGGACATTTATATTTTAGGTTATTATTGATACGTACTTATCTATTGCCATTTTATTTCTTTATGCCTATGTTTCTCATTCTATTTCAACCTCTTATTACAGCAGTCCCTTCAACATTTCTTGCAATGGTGATTTGGTGGTGATAAATTCCTTTAGCCTTTCTTTGTTTGGAAAGCTCTTTATTTCACCATCTATTTTGAATGATAGCCTTGCTAGATAGAGTATTCTTGGTTTCAGATCCTTGTTTTGCATTATCTTGAATACTTCATGCCATTCCCTTCTGGCCTGTAGAGTTTCTGATGAGAAATTAGTTGTCAGCCTTATGGGAGCGCCTTTGCAGGTAACAGCTTGCTTTTCTCTTGCTGCCTTTAAGATTCTCTCTTTGTCTTGAATTTTTGGCATTTTAATTATGATGTGTCTGGGTGTGGGCCTCTTTAGGTTCTTCTTGCTTGGGACTCTCTTTGCCTCCTGAAATTGTGTGACTTTTTTCTTCACCAGGTTAGGGAAGTTTTCTGCCATTATTTCTTCAAGCAGATTCTTTAACCCTTTCTTACTTTTGACCTCTTCTGGCACTCCTATGATGAGAATATTGTTACATTTCATGTTGTCCTGTAGGACCCTTAAACTGATGTCCTGTTTTTTAATTGTTTTTTCTTTTTGGTTCTCTGATTTTTTTCTACCCTGTCTTCTATTCGCTGATCTGATCTTCAGCTTCCCCTAATCCATTGAATATTGCCTTACCTTTATTCTCTTCATTTGTTCTCTCT